GTGTGGAGGGGACAGGATTGGTTCGGAGATCACCTGGCAAATTGTAAATAATGTTATAGGTATGTTTTACATAAGGTGTTTGTTTTACTTTTATTTCTATTTTTATTTACTTATGTGTATATATATTTTTTTTTCTTTACTCTTCTGTTCTTTTTTCTTATTCTTTTGTTATTACTTTATTTATTTATATTTTTGTATATACGGTATGAATGCAATCCCTGAACTCTATTATAAGTGTCCTTAAACTGTGACAAATTGTAATAATTCTGAATAAAGTGTTTTTTAAATATAAAATATTTATAATTGTTATTCTTAATGGACCTCGTCACAAAATAAAGTTTATTTTCTATTCTCTTCTATATATTATGACCAAAAAAAAAAATAATAAATAAATAAATAAGAAGATAATAACATAATTTTTAATAAATATAATTTTCCATAGGAATTTTTATTTGTTGTGCGCCTGGCTTTACCAACCTTTCATCTCTAAAGAGATAAATCTAGAAAACATAAAGTACTTACCAATTATTTTACCATCATTAATTATTTACTCTACCAGGTGATTTACTCTCAGGTGAGAAGGGGTTAGGTTGGATATTTTCATAAAGCAACAAAAAGGTTAACAGATCTATTTACAAAATAAATATTTACAGAATCAATATTACTATGTACAATAAAAAGAAATAAAATACAATGAAAAAAGAGAGAATTTAAACATAATTACTATATACAATTAAATATAAAAAGGAAGATATTTAAGATAATAAAAATAACAGAAAAAGATACTCTATATACAACAGTATGGCATGCAACATCTAAACATCTAGAAAAGACAATCAAGATACAAGATGTAAGAGCACATGCACATGCTAAAATATCAATTAATAATCTGGGACAGGAAACAAAAGAGGAAAGATTTTTTGTTTTCCATGCTTCCTCAATCTTGGTTAATATATATATATATATATATATATGTATATATATATATATATATATATATATACACACACTTGTACGTGTAATTGAAATTAATAGATGGTATCTGAAGCGTAAATGGTTTATCGCGTTCCATAATCCAACTTTCAACTCTATTTTAACCCTCTGATATTCTCCTCAGTTGAAACTTTTTATCTTCAGACGTTGCTTTCTTTATTTTTCTTTTCCTTTTCCTTCCCACTTTCCGAGATCCCTGACAGGCTGAAGGGTATTCTTTATTAAAAAAAAAAAACAAAACGTAACTTTCTCGAGCCATTCTCGGCCATTGGCCTGTCTTCACTTTTTAATTTCTTAGAGTGATCCTTCGGAGGGTAAACCCTTTCCTCGCTCTATGAGGCCGTAATCTGCATACTTGAATCACAGATTTGTTTTTGTAAATATCCGAAGTTTGTTGTTCTGGCCATCACGTTTACGAATGACACTTGTCATTATTATTTTTTACTTTCACTTACCTATATATAAAATGCATAGTAAGGCAAAGTATTATATATTATATTATATATAAGTTTTGAGGTCCCCTGAATCCAAATAACCATGTCCCGAAAAATAGTCTGTGTGTGAGTATGTTAGCAGTCAAGCTTAAAAACGAAAAAGTGTGCGAAAGTGGAATTGCATATTTAAGATTTGTATGTGCCTGAGATGTTACAGCAACTTTTCCTTTAAAATTGGCTAACCGGAAGTGCCACTTTGTATCAACGGTGATACACATTTTTATAATTTTCTCAAACAGTTGCAACTATTTTGATTAAATTCAGTGTATCATTGTATAGTTAAGTATTCATTAAAATAATTCAGGTCTTATCCTCATTGATGTCACTTTAAAGGGCTTTTAAATGTTGAATGTTCATCATGTCTTCTTCTAAAGTACCTTTAATTTTGTTCATTTTTGATCATTGACAATTTCTCACTGATAGTAATAATGAAAATTGGCAAAATGTAAATTTTGAAAGAATTAAATAATTGAATAAAGGATAAAAAAAGAAAAAATGCTTTTCCATGTCGAAAATGAATCTTTGGAAATAATAGTTAGAGAGTATACGTAAAATATATAGTTTGCAAGCTGATAATTTTAGAATAAAAATAATAACTAACAAATAATGTTGTAGAAGGTAACGGATACTTCAATTCGAAAAAAGTATTTTAAATACACAGAATCAAGGAAATGACATTGTTAAAAAAATCATTTCACTTGTGTGAAAGAAGAAGTAACATAAAAAAATATTTCATGGATATAATTATAACCTTAAATCTATTTGCTGTAGTTTAATAACTCTAGATCTGAATTTTATTTAAATTAGGTATCATCGTCCATTTATTCCGAAAATTCGTCATGTAGCCTTTAATAAAATTAAATTAGTGTAAAAACTTTTGGCCTATTTATTTATGACTGGCATTGAAAATCTCGTAATTTCTTTGTTGTAAACTTTACAAAGGAAAAATTTCAGCTTAATAACTAATAGGCGTAAAATCCACAATAATTTATTGGTTGAATATAGAGATATACTTTCAAATCTCTTTAGTTAAATATATATTGCTCAGAGACTGGAGTTGTGTTGTTTACAAAAACAGATGGAGTAACGAGAGTTTTATTGTCTACCGTTGATATAATTAATAGGGTTTTTTTTATTTTAATGGTTGTAATGCTTTGTTGACTGTAAACTTACAAGCTCCGTTAAAAGTGAACTTCAAAAATTTCGTAACGAACATGGAGTTTAATTTTATTATTTTTCGTAAACGTAAATAAATCAAGTTTAAGTTTTATTGATGAGAACTTGGAATCATGCCTAAAATTAAAAACAACAACATACAAACCTGACTTACTCAAACTTTCCAAGGAGATGCATTGTTCGCATTAATTAATATTTATTAAGTATGAAATTTAGTTTTATTTTGTGTAATACTTATTTAGTGTAATAAAAGTTTACTAAACACATTTGGCTCCTAATTTTGTTTAAAATTGTTCATATTTGGCTGTTTGGCTAATAAGTTTGCCGACCACTGGATTAAGCGATGGAAATGTTCAGCATTCGACCCTCTTTATAATGAGCTATTATTTATATAGATTTATATTTCATATTATTAATCTCGCCTTGTTTCTGTTTTCACTACTGTCTTGTGGTCTGCTGCACGCTACCTTAGTTTCGTTTTACATATTTTTTGATCGTGAGACGTTTTAATAATGAGACCATATCTCCTGGATGGATAATCATATCTCCCAGATTACCCGAAAATCCATAACTGCCCTTAAACAACTCCTAAGATTCCGTGATTGTATTCCTCTAAAAACCAGACAGCTCCTTGTAACCTCCCTTGTATTCCCCCCCTTCGACTACGGCTGCTTGGTGTATGGAGGGCTATCTGCCAGGCTGGAATTGAGACTAAAAAGACTCATGAATTGTTTCATAAGATTCATTTTCAGGATCCCCAGATGTTCACATGTTTCACTCTGATACACCGAGTTGAAGTGGCTTTATCCTACTTCCCGACGACAATTCCTTCTTGGCGTTTTCCTTTTCCAAGTCTTCAGAACCAAAAACCCTCCCTACATCCTGGAACTCCTTACTCTGCGCTCCTCTATCCACTCTCTCAATACTAGGTCTCAACCTATAGACTTATATTTGTTTGTTTCGATGTCTAGGCGCAAAACATCCAGGTCATAAGCGCCCGATCAACTAAATAACATCATTTAATACTATTTGGATGATTGGTACAAAAAAAAAATTAATAAAATAAAATAAATAAAAAATAAATAAATAAATAAGGATAATAACAGACATTTATAGGTAATAAGATGTATAAAAATGTATAAATAAATAAACTTTAAAAAATAGCAGTAGAATCAATAAATGAATTGAGATTAATAAACAAATGAATTTAAAATGAAATGAAATCAAGTGAAAAAATAAATAAATAGTAATAAGAGAAAATATAATAAAGATAAACAGATAAATAAAAAAAAATTAATAAATAAAAAAAAACCTGTCAAATGTGTTTTTTAAGTCTTTCACTATCCACGAACTTGATGACTTTGGTAACGATTTCCTCTTGATTTCCCAGGGATACTGATATATTCTGGGGTATTCCAAAATCTTTTAATCTTGCGGTGTAAAAAGGGCATTCTTCCAAAATATGTTTTATAGTTAGTGATTGGTTACACTTTTGACATCGGGGGGATATTATCTTTTGTTATGAGGTGGAGGTGAGTCAGTCTAGTATGTCCGATCCTCAGCTGTGTGAGGACGACCTCTTCTCTACGACTGCTGCGTCTGGAGCTGGTCCACGGTTCTGTTCTGTTCAGTCTGCGCTGTTGTCCCACCGTGTTTGCCATTCTTGGAATATGGTTTCTCTCAGAGGTCGTGCAAGTTCAGATGGTGTCAAAAAAACTTTACCGCGGCCTGGAAGATATAGACTTATATATATATAAGTCTAAGTAGTTATATAAGGGAATATATAGACTTATATATTCCCTCCCATAAAACTCCCTCCTTCAGCAAATCCTTCGTCATTCGTGCTGCTTCCTTATGGAACTCACTTCCTACCCCCATGCGTCAATCCTCATTCACAAATTCCTTCAAACAACTCCTGTTCCAACACCTACTCCACATCCAAACTTCCCCTAACATGTAAAATTACTTGCATCTATACAATGTTTAATTTCAATCCATTGCACAATTGAAATAAGAATTAACAATAAGTTAGTTGGTATTTTTATTATTTCAGACTAAGATACATAAATTTGTAACTCTTTTATTATTCTTAGGGGACAGTAGTCCCAGAATAAAATTATTTTTTCATTTCATTTTTCATTTTATTTCTCGGTGTTATTTTGAAATGTGTACCGGCTTTGACCTAAGAAATTATGTATATTAGATAGGAGTTAATAATTGATACGTACCCAAGGAATGAATCTCGAGCTTCCCACACTAGTTGAAAAAGCTTTGTTGCCATAAATGGTAAGGGAGAGGTTAAAAATAAATGTAGTAATCAACGAGAAAAAATATTTTATTAAATGTTTTCGTTCCACTAGTATGCGGGTTGAAAACAACGAAACCTTGCAAATAGAGAGAGGACATTATACGATAGGAGTACAAGAGAAGTATCGACCGGGAAGTCGGAGGCATGCTGAATATTAACTTCGCGGGTGCAGCGATATCCAATCCTTGTCAGCCTCCAAAACTTTTATAGCTCCTAACTCCGGGGCTGCCAGAAGTTGCAGCGAACGCGGACCCCCACACAATTTCTGAACGTGGGGGGCCTCCCTAAGCAGGCGGGATAGCACCAGGGTAGAGCGTAAATAGGTTACTGAATCACTTCTCCCATAACTCACTTAAATAGTCGCCTGATTCACACGGCTTCGGCAATACCAGCCAACAGTTTGTGCGTAGATTTGTGACAACGGTGGATATCCAAGGTATATAGGTAGCACTGTATGATTCAGTTCGACTAATAATACAGTACCTGCGGAAGTGTCTGTTCTGTTGAAACAATATGCAATCAAACAAATATAAAAATCTGGTGCGCGGTACACACAACTTTCACTTACCGCTCTATTTTGAATAGAAATTATTTTCTGGCTATGTTGGGCAATTATAAAATTTTTGAATAGCATTTTTAATCGAGCTAAAGCTAAATGCTTACAGCTTACAAATCATAAATACCATCAAAATAACAAAAGCCCTATTTATTATATGAGCCGTTTTTTTTTAAAAGTGGCCTAACTCCGTTTTTCAATTTTATGCCGGTTATCATGGTTCCATGTACAACTTCATACTATACATATCAGTAAAACATTTCAGGTTGCTTATATTCCGCGCAAATACGATAAGTTTTTGACGCATAAGTTTTCAGAATCAGTCCAATAACTGAATCGTGTAGTTTGAAAGTGGCAGAACTCCATTTATTTTATTTTATACTTATATAGGAGAATCAGCTAGAAATTTACTAAAAAAACATCAGGAGAAAGTATCATGTAATTCCCATTATTATTTTGCTTTCTCGTGGGACTTGCAAAAAGCATTACCGTATCCCAAGCTGGCTACCTCAGTAGCATATTACACACGCAATATGTATGTTCTAAATTTGTGTATTTACAATTTTCATAACGATAATGTTTACATGTATGTTTGGGATGAAACTATTGCCTCCAAAGGTCCTCAAGAAGTGAAAAACATATTATAGCTTACAGTGACATGATGAGCACCGAGCAAAACAGAAACATTAAAGTAGCTTTAATTTGGTTAAAAATTGTCCAAAGTTCGGAAAATAATGTGTAAATCATAGATCAGAAATTTTAAATATTAGGACACTCGTTTTTACCAAATGATAGATATTTTGGTGTGGTAGAAACTTCATTAAGAAAGAATAATTTACTGTTCGTTTCCCAAGATTATTAAAAAGTGACGGAAAGATAATAATTTTATTGTAAATTGAAATGTGACAAAAAGATTTTGTATCAACAAAAAATTATTAGAAGAGGCAATTTTTAAAAGTTTAAAGAATTCTGATGGAGAATCAGTAAACTGGTTACAAATAATTTGGATGCGTTTTATCAGAAATGAACCGTATAACATTTTCTATAAGACAACAATGAATGAGAATGAAAATTTTAAAGTACTAAATTTATTACCACGTCGGGGTAGACCAAGAAAATTCGAAAATATTGTTTATTGTTGTTACAGACAAATTACAACAAAAAAATTTAAGGACATGATTGACCTATTGCGATATATACCACCGGAACATCGTGACTACTTCAAATCCATTTCACACGCGCAAAATGTAGATGAATAGTAAATTGTTTGTTAGTAAAATGTTTGTAATTTTGTATATTCTGTAATTAAAAAAATATTTTGAATCGCATAACTTGTGTTTCCGAATTGTTTTAAAGATATGTAAAATAAATTGAGTATTGTGTTTTTCAATTTGATCTTAAATTATGTTGAATGGACTTGGGTACCTTCAAATTTTATAATGAATCTGGTTGTTAATTTTGAAAGTGGCCTAACTCCATTCTTGATAAGGAAACGCACATTATTCACTTAATAATTGTTACTATTTTAATAGGGACCATAAATTTAACACCCTTAGATACACTTAAGCAGTATGACTCATTAGTATCCTGTACTTATATTTTTAAATTCATTAAAACGCAAACCCTTAAATATCTCGATTCGAATATAAATGGAGGTAGGCCACTTTCAAAATTAAACGGCTCATATCATGGTTGATTATTGATTGTACGACTATTATTTATTAAACTGTTATTTTCAATAGCAAAGTTTGCTAAAATGGAATTAACAGATTTGCATTGTCTGTCATAGATAGATCAAAAGTTGTCACACTAATTGTAAATGGATACTGTTAAAACATCACAGAAAGAAATTTCATCAAACTATTCACTAATTTAATTTTCTAAAAGGTTACATGATGATTTTGCGATATAAACGGACGATATATAAATAAATATTTAAATATAATATCAAATCTAGAGTTATTAAACTACAGTAAGTATATTTAAGATTATAAATATATACATGAAATATTTTTATATTTCACTTCTTCTTTCACACCAGTACAATGAAATAGTGTATTAAACAATGTCATTGCCTTGAATCCGTGGATTTTTAATACTTTTTCAAACTTAAAAAAAAAAGTTAAAAGTTTACATTTATTAAGGAAATTTCAATTAATTACCTTGAAAACACGTGTACGTTGAATAATGTTAGTTTTTTAGAAATATTTGTTTTTAGAAATATTTTGAGAAATATAATTATTTAAATTTGTTTCGCCACTCTCCGTTACTTCATAAAATTTTCTATATTAGATATTTTTGTATTGTCTGCTACGATGGAAAATAGCTTAGGGCAAGAATATATGAAATTATACTAATTGAAGGAATGAAAACGTGTTTATTAAACTTTTTAAAAAATTTTAAAAAAATGCTTGTATGTGTATATATATATATATATATATATATATATATATATATATATATATATATATATATATATATATATATATATATATATATATATATACACACAAGCAACAACACATAGACAATGGAAAATTCCGTCTGTCGAGGTCTGTGTGTAATTAATAATAAATATTCATCACATTTATAACTAAAATAAATCAGCAATAATATATCTACAGTATTATTATGGTTTTATACAGCCGTTCTAGCAAATTTCTTTTTCACTGTCTCATCTGTTTAAATAGAATTTTCAAAAAAACAAACATTAATACATCACAAATCCAATAAATAAGAGATTTAAATTCAACAATAATAATAATCATCAAATACAATATAACAATAAAACAAACGTTACAATAAATACATACGATATTGTATCAATAGTTTACTATCTGACTAATTTAGATCTTTGCAATGTGGCCTGCTGTACATAATTGCTTAAGGCTTTCCAGTTAGAACCCTTTAAGAAACCAAATAATTCTTCCGGAGAACAGGTCCGCTGCCCAAAACATTTCTCTCTTAACTCACTGAACATGTAGCAAGTCCCCCAAAAGTGAATGATATCCTCTTTTTCTTTTTTATTTTTCTTCCACCATCGATTACGCTTAAATCGAGCAACTCTGTCCTACATTGAAAAATTGACCCTATAGTCACAATATCAAAACTATCATTAAGATAGGGTGTAACAGTGCCCACTGAATATAGCCTTGCGTAAACGGAAAAATTTGAATGAAGACATTTTTCTAGAGTATTTTGTTTTTCAAAATCCTCTATCCTATGTCTAACAACAGTCAATTTTCCGCGCAGATCAGCGTTATTTGCAATATCAAGATTAGTTTTACAACTATCCTCGAATTCTAAGCACTTTTGGTACCAATAAACTCTCTTAGATATCACCTCTTTCGCTAGGATCTTCAGCACTTTCAAAATATAGTCGAAATGAATTTTAAGTGTGTGAAATTATACTAATTAATCATAAATAAATATGTTTTTTTTTAATCATGAATCATCAAATATGCAATCTGCAAATGTGGTACTCTTTTACATTTTAGTATTCACAGATTAACATAACTCGTAGTTATATTAATTGAGGGATTACTGAATTTCCTAAAACGCTGCTACTCCTCGAAATTGTATTCTTATCCGAAAAAAATTTAGACCTTTTAATGTTGATATTCTTAAGTCAATGAAAACTATGAGGAAGCTATACTGACCTTAGTTGGTAGACATTTTTTTCCTTAATACACTCAATAGAAATTGTGAGAAATATTCTTACTGACAGATGTTGTATGACCATAAGTTATTAGTGGTTTAACTTTGTTAAATGTTTTATGTTCGTTTTAAATTAGTAGGAGTATCAATTACTAAAAAGCTAATCTGTGTGTTCTCCCAGCGTTTGTCGTACGTGCGGATGATGCGGCTTGATTAAACGCGAGCATTAATTTAGTTGGCAGGCCAGCAGCCCTCGCTAATTCCTCCTCAATTAGTAAAATGAAATGACAATCCCCAGTGGTGGAAAGTTCAAGTCCAACTTGGTTTGGACCAATCCGCCGTTGGCTAACAGATTGAAATTCGCCACGCCTACCGCCGCTCGTTTGACCTTTATAGGTAATGACCTCCATCTTGTTACCCTTGTCTGGTACACTCCTACCGTATCGCCTTCAGCTTATTATTTCGAAATAAAAATTATAATATCGTAGTGTAGAGTTTGATAAATCAATATTGCTCTGATTATAGATAGCATATAAAATGCGGGTATAAAGTAGTATAACTATAATATTAAATTACAGTAGTATTACTATAATACTATTGGTACTGCCCACCGCAACCGATGCCAACTGCCGCCCTCCGTTACTGCTCACCGTAGCTGCCAACTTCTTTCGCTTTAAACATCAAAAACAACGCATGGACTAGCTATTCGTTTGCATACTTCTATTGGAAATCTCGGAGTATTTTCGATCAATATCTTTCCTGAAATAATCATATCCCCATATATATTATCACAGTAAGGCTCGAAATCGGTTTTGCACCAAATATAAGCTCCTGTCATGCTGAAATACCATGAATGGTGTACCGTTGGATTCAGAATTGCACGGGAGGTTAGTGAACCGTATTCTCCCCTTTTGTTTTTCTTTCTAAAATAAATAAAGTCGATACAAACATTTTGCTAGGCTTCAATACTGGAACGGTGGTGTGGTAGGTCTGTAGATCGATACGGGACGAATTGGATCTTGAAGATTTTGATCCGTACTGCAAGACCCGGATAGTTTCTCTGGAACTATCGGATCCTGCGTTTTTAAGCCCAAAAATGTACTATTTTCGAGATAACGCAAGGCATAGGGTTCGCATCCACACAACCTTACGTTGATTTTAGTACTGTCATTGAAACATGTCTCATTTCGTCGACTTGAGACCTCTATAATCGAGAGAGGAGGAGTTTATATTATTTATCGATGGTGTTTTTGATCAGCAAGCCATATCATCGTTGATTTTTCACCAAATCTCAAGATTGAGCCACCAATTTCGAAGGCTTCCTTCTCCATCAGGTGGGCAAAATAGTCCAATCACCCCGAGAATTCCGGAAAACAATTTATGAAAGAAAACAAACTTAATTTGCGAATAACTAAAAAAAAAAAAAGAACTTTCCCTTTTTTCTTACTCATCTTTCATCACTTCGATTATGGTTTCCTTGTGTATACGGTGGACTGTCTGGTTGCCTTGCGATCAGATTGAAAATATTAATGAATTGTTTGATTAGATTTATCTTTGGAGTCCCCAGGAGCTCCCACGTCACCAGTTGGTATGCCAAATTCAGTTTTCGGGCGGCAATATTTGCTAGGAGTTTTCATTTTCCGAACTTTTACAACCAAAAAGCCATCTTACCTTCTTGATTTGTTTACTCCTTGTTCCTCTGCTCATTCGTTCAACGCGAGATCTCAGTCCATAAATCTTTTCGTTCTCTTTCATAGAACCGTTTAAAAAATCCTTTATCATGCGTGCTATATTTATTTGGAATTCCCTAACTATCTCAATACGCAAGTTCTCTTCCTAATTCCTTCATTTAATCTTCCTAATACATTTAAGAATAAAATTTCGTATTTAAGAGCTATTCCCCTCATTTGACTGTTATTTATATATTATCAATATTGCATATATACCCTTTAATTTTATGTATATAACGTACTTCCATGAATCCAAAATTTAATGTAGAAATGAAAAAAAAAAACTTTGAAATACGACTGGTATGTTGACTTGTAGAGATACAAAAGTTCTAAACATGTTTTACTGTAAAACATATCTCCTTTTCATTATCACTTACCTTCATATGAAATATATAGCAAGGGTAAGTATTAGGATCGTGAAAATTTTCGAGTCTGAGGTTTCAACGGAAATACATGTCTTGAGGTCTCCTGATTCCAAATAACTAAGTCCCGCAAAATAGTCTGTCTGTGCACTAGCGGATCCAGGATTTAATTTTGGGGGGGGGGGCTTCAGCCCGAAACCTTTTTTTTTTCATAATATAACGATAATTACTTTGGAAAAACAGAAAGAAACTATATGAAATTTTGTTTAAGTTATTCCTTAAGTACTTTTAAATGTAATTACACGAAGAATAATACTTTAAGAAGTATTTTTAAAATTTTTTTTCCCATAAAACATGGTTATATTTTTCGATTTTGAGTGGGGCTTCAGCCCGAAAGCCCTCCCCTCCCCCCCGTAGATCCGCCCTGTCTGTGTGTGTCCTTAAAGTAGAAAATAATCTCATCCTTTGTTTATTATATTCTCGCTTACATTCTTTTCAGTCTGAGGGCTCGACTTTTAGCTATTAACTTTCATTCAATCGGCTATATCTGAAATGGATATTTATTTTTATAAATATTAACCGTTAATCGTCCATATTATTTGTTAATTACGTTAATTAACGTCGAATAGGTTTGTTTTAGCTTGTTGAATGTTATTAGCTCAGTCATAGCTATTTTATATTTTCTTCGATTTGTTGTTCTAGGTCGTTAGAAAATAAACTGAATTTACAACTGTAATAAAAGAGGCATTTACCGCTGGAGTAATGGGCGGAACAAACTGTTTGTCTCGAATCCATCCTTCAACTGCAATCTTAAATCAATCTTTCCTTTTTTACTCTTTATTATTTAATTTTTTTAATTGGACTCAATTTTTGAATTTCCATTGATTCTTACATATATCTAATATCTTATAATATTGTAATTGTAATTTAAATCAAATATAGGAAATATACCATTTTGTCGCTGTTTGTCCGTTTTTCCAAGAATATAGAAACAAATATTTAAAAAAAAAAAAAAAATCATAAACCGCAATGAACTTGTGAGACATACTCAATGGCCAAATATTGGAGCAGTTTATATATGCATCATATATATGGTTATTACATTGTTGTTTAATTCAGCAATACATAACATTCTTTAGTTATATGTTAACAAAAGCAAGGATAAGATTAAGATTATGGAACAAAAATTATTTATTTAGTATTTTCTGTAAAATTAAAGTTTATTTAGATTATAAGTATCAGGTATTTTTAAGTTGTTTTAAACAACAAAAGGCTGTTTAATGTCTCCAAAATCAATTGTTTTTATTTATTTTATTACTATTAATTCTTTTCATTGTGTGTATTTTTAGGGCAACTCCAGGCAGACAGTTGCCAATAAAAAAAAAAAAATCTCGTGTGTCCACTCACACAACTTTCCTGCCTATTTCAGAAAAGTGTTTATATCTTTGCATATGTTCATCAAGAAACAAAAAAAAAAAAAAAAAAAAAATTGAATTAGATTTATTTTCCTGAAAATTGATGAAAGAAAAGGTTTGAGTCATAGCCTCAAACAATGATTTCTGGTTAAAGTAGAGGGAATAGTGAAGCATAGGTAGGAAAGTAATAAATTAAAATATAAAATAGAATAAGCTGTATTATCGCTAATACTAGTCGGATACCGAATTTTTTTGTTTGTTTTGTTGGTAATTTAATTATCTTTCAAAAGTTTTATTATAAATTTTACTACAGAATATACGCTTAACAAGTTAGGCTCCACAACATTTTTCTTTTCTTTATATGTTTTTTTCCTGATTTTTTTCGGGTATTTATTAGTCCATATTCGAAAATTGAAAGGACAATATTAGAACATTTTAGAAATGTTTATAGGAAAGGTCGCGCTACAATTCAGAAAAAAAAAACAGGTTTTTCATTTATTGCGCATGGAGCATCCAATTTGTGTCACAGGCATCAGTAATCAAAACCCTACAAAATAAAAAAAGAAGCAACAAAATCGATTCTCTATTTCCCGAGAAAATGTTGGCACAGACAGACAGACAGTCTGAGGCTTCAACGGAAATACATGTTTTGAGGTTTCCTGAGTCCAAATAACTACGTCCCGCAAAATAGTCTAGATCCGTCGAAAACCGTATGTCAAGCTCTCTGCTTGATTATAAATTTAAATACTTATTGTATTATTAACATGACAGTATGAGAATCAAGATTTTTAACACAAGTATCACAATAATATAGTGTTGTCCATATGCAAGAATCTTAAAGTTACTTATTAGCTTATCGCTATTTATTAAACATCTTATAATATAATGCCATAGTTGTTTTGCCGTTACTATAGCATGTCGGCCTTCTCAATTAATATAAATTCATAAAAATTTGGTGAGACTAACCGTTATTATTATTGTTAATTTTTTCAATGATTAATAAAATATTTTGGGGGACAGAAAAAACTTTCTAACATCAAACGCATTCAATCCTTCCAGTCTAAAATCCTCCGAACAATAATCGATGCTCCCTTCTATGTATCCAACAAAACCCTCCATAATGACCTTCATATCCCATTTGTTATTGACCTAATCCCAGAAAAATTTTCCAAATTTCACCAGAAACTCGCTCATCATCCAAATCCTGTAGCACAATACCTATCTAGCTCCAGCCATCCTTACAATCCTCCCCGGAGGTTAAAACGGCAGTGGCCCCGCGACCTTTTGTAAATATGTATATATTGGAGTACTGGCAATGGCCAGTAGATTCTCCACTCAAGATATGAGCGTCTGTTGCTATAGTGCCCTCCATCAGTTTACACTGGTTTCAAATAACAGTGACGCGGCTGAGAGAGAAGCACTGGGATCACCTGGAGTCCTGCCTTGGCTTCCACGTCGAGGAATAAAGCATGACTCCGAGTCCCCTGGGTGAATGTAAATATTGTACATAGGTGTGAATGTGATTTATTTACTTTAATTTCATCTAGATTTTATCTATTATTTCATTATTTTTTTTGTACACAGGCATACCAATTTACTTATTTTTTTATATTTCTTTTTCTTTATTATTGATATTAATTGTATGTACATATTGTGTGAATGAATCATGTAGCCTTAATATTAATGCCCTTCAATGTGGCAGAATGTATTAATATTAAAAAAAATATATAAAAAAAAATATATTTTGCATGTAATATGATGTAAAAATGAAAATTTATTGTTTAACAATACCCCAATATCAATTATGTCGCGAAATTGTTTGAATTTCTCCTCAATTTTTTCCTTCACATTTTCTTTTTCTTATTTTGTCTCAAAACTTTTTCCAGTTTTTATAATGAAAAGG